TTTTTTTTTTTCCTACTCTGTCATGCATGCAAACTCATTGCTACTCACAATTTCCCTTAAGTTATGATATCGCAAAAGTTTGTTTATTTGTTTTTCTCGTGAAGTGCTAACTTTTTTCATAATTAAGATGGTATGCAAGTTAAACCGACTATTGTTTGTTGATTTTGCAGGTAAGATCACTTACGCTCGATGTTAAAGTTTGGGAGCCATCGGTCATAAACCTATTTCAATCGCTGGGCAACACATTTGCTAATTCAGTATGGGAGGAGCTGCTGCAATCTAAGGGTATCTTCCAAGTTGATATTGGCCCCTCAGGGTAAATAAAGCTCCTCTCTCTTTTTTTGTTAGGTATATTTATTTTTTTCGACTCGTTACTTTTTAATGAGGAATTTCTGTGTTCTGCTATCACATATTCCTTTGCAGCTTGTATCGGACTAATAAACAGCAAATGCCTTATTTCAGCAAGCCCAGCCCCAGTGACTCAATTTCCTCAAAGGAGAAGTTTATTCATGCCAAGGTTACTTTTTGTAGTTTTGGTGTACTCACGTGATTCTTGATCAGATTTTAGATCACTGAAGAGCTTTCAATTCTTTTCAGTGTGGAAAATGGGTGCAAAAAAACACTTTTTTTTTTATGATTAATTATCAGTTTGTTGAGTCACCGAAATGCATTTTACAGGACTATTAATTGATTTTGGTCTTTTCTATGTTTGCAGTATGCGGAGAAACTTTTTGTTCGTAAGCCAAAAGAAAGTGATTCAGTTGCACAACAGATGTGGGATGCTGTCAGTGCGGGTGACAAGAAAGCCTTGTATGGGCTCATTGTTAACTCGGAAGCAGATATAAATGCAATATATTATGAACAAGGAACAACTTGTTACAATAACTCATCTCTTACTCTTGCTAAAGTAATGCTGTTGCAAGAGCAATCTTACTATGGTCGTTCGGAAAACGATCCGAATCTCGCTAGCACGAGTGAAGGGAATAACAATAACAATATCAATAATAATAACATTAATAATAATAATAATAGTAATAATATTAGTAATGGCAAGTATGCTGACGGGTGCTCCTTGCTTCACCTTGCTTGTGAGACTGCGGATATTGGGATGATTGAGCTTCTTTTGCAATATGGTGCAAACGTAAATGCTACTGATTCCAGGTCACTTACCCCTCTTCATCGATGTATCATTAGAGGCAAAACAACATTCGCAAAGCTTCTCCTGACAAGGTAAATTCTTTCTTGCTTTTGTTCAGTTAAAACGAATAGAAACGCAATGGAGATTCTGGCTGGTAATTTTATGAAGGTTAACAAAACCAACTTAGGCTCTGCTTGGATATCAAAAAATTTCAGTTCCGTTCCACACGAGAAAATTTTCTGATTAGGCACAAAAGACTCATAAAATACGCTATTAACTCATTTTCGTCACTCCTTTTCCCCTCTCATCAACACAACTTTTATTAGTATTAATAAAAAAAACTAATCATACATTTCTCTGCAAAACTACTCTTCTTTCACTCAGATGCTTACAACAAATACCTAATCACTTTCAATAACCGTTCTACTATTTTTAACTCACATCAACTTAAATCACAACATTCAATCTCAACTTTTTTTCTCTTTTCCATTCCTCCAAACCATTCTCAATTGAATGGAAAAAAATTCAAAATTTTGTTTCAATATCATTCTTGCATCTGTTGGGTTATGTTTGTTTGTGTCAATAGAACTGTGATAATCGTTAAATTAACAGTAATATGTGTTCAATTTCAGGGGAGCTGATCCACGGGCTTTAGACGAGCAAGGTAGAACCCCGTTTCAGCTTGCTGTGGACTCTAATTTCCAGGATAGTGAGGTCCTTGGACTATTGGCCGATTCACAGAGATGATTATGATGATGAGTTTTAGTTGGTAAGACAATTATTTACCACCAAATCTGTGTGTAAGAAATTATTATGGCTGGTAAATCGGGTTTGCACAAGTCGAGTCTCTTAGTGTAATTATGTGTCGGCTTCTGGAATTTCATCTTGCAAGTGAACACCTCGTCATCTTCTCCCGTCAATTGTTCGATTTGATGTTATTATTAATTTTCACTTATTATTCGTCGGGGTTTTTTTTTTCTGTATGTGTTTGTTTGTACATCATCTTTGTTTTTCCTAGTTAGGATATGTGGTGAGGCTTTGCTGAGAGAGGCTTAAAATTTTGTGTTTAGCCCTTGTGTTGAAATTTGGACCGAGTTATTATGATGCTTTTGTTCTCTGTGGTGTGTATGCGCTTTTGATTTTTAAGATTGTTGTATTGGAATATATCTTTTTTATTTTTATTGCAAAAAAAAAAAAAGTTTTAATAACTCTAAAACCTATAAGTGAAAGAAACAATTTGCTTAGTTGGCACTAGGACTGCAAACGAGCCAAGCCGAGTCGAGCATTGGCCTTATCGAGTAGGATTGATTTTTTTTTTTTTGCTGCTCGAGCTCGATTTATTAGGCTCGAGCTCGACTCGAATTCAAAATGCTCGAACTCGGCTCGAGTTCGGTTCGAATTTTTTCAAGTAATTTTGTAAAATAACCATTAAATACATATATATATATATATACAAGAGTATTTTAGTAACTTCATATATCTCGAGCTGCTCGCGAGCCGCTCGACAATGTAAAATATAGGTTCGAGTTCGTGCTCGAGCTCAGCTTTACTCGAGTGCTCGCGAGCTTCTCGAATCGTTTGCAGCCCTTGTTGGCACGACCAAATTGAGTTTTTTTAACAAAGTCTCTTCTTCCTCTTGGATTCTTGCATCTTGCTTGGCATTTTTCTTCAAATAAATCGAAACTTGTGAAGATCTTACAGTTGATTATTCAAGCTCACTTTTTAACAAGTATAATAAACACACCACAAAATATATGGAGCCATCGTTTTCTTATGGAGTTATCCACCACTAAATGTGTTGACATTTGTTCAAATTGTGTTTATTGTAGGACACGAGTCAATACACTATTCGTGAATAAGTGTGGATGACTCCATAAATTGAGCCGTCTGGTGATTCCATAGCAAAATTGATAAATACACAGTGAAACAAAATTAGAACTCATTCTGCTGTACTGCACGGGGAGAAAAATCTTTCCACCATTGCCTTTACTTATTATGTATAATGTAATCATATAAAACTAGAAGCAAAAATTACCATAGTCTGAAGCCTTTTTTTTTTTAGTTATTATTATTTATATTGATTTGCACTCAAGATAAATGACTAAAAAGGTTACATGATTCTAATCAAAATTAGGGGTAAACAAGTGAATATCTTAAAATAAAATACTTGAGATGTCACATTTTTCAAAATATACTTATATGTATGTACTAAAATAGTGGAATGTTTTACTTTATTTATTATTTTTTTTTTAAACAAGTAGTTTCGAAATGTACACCTACGTCAAACTTTATAATTTGTTTCGTTCAGAGTTTTATATTGAAAAAATAAAATAAAATATAATTTATTTAGGTGGCCTCACAACAAGGTCCAGTGCTATATTATATACACAATTGTTTTGTGATTGGTGGGTATTAATTGTTGGGGAAATGCTACACTCTCGTTATGGAACTATTTTGTCGAGATTTGTAATCGTTAAATGATCATATAATCGTCGTGAATAGTTGATTCAACGGTAAAAATCCCGATGAAAACTATAACAGAACCGTAGAACCTCCCTGAATAGGGCTGCAAACGAGTCGAGCAGCTCGCGAGCCGCTCGCGAGCGCTCGAGTCAAAGCTCGACTCGAGCTCGAGTTTGACCGATCTCGAGTCGAGCTCGAGCGGCTCGAG